AAAGTTTGCCCACAGGAAGCCTTCCAAATTCTATTCAATGCTACTGATCATTAGTGCCACTTATTCTTTTAACAATAACATGGATATAATTTTGGAACAAGAGCAGCAAGGGGGAAAATTTATCCCCATTATGTCTCATTTAGGATGCCTTTACCTCCAAGTGACAGAGATGCATCTCAAAGAACGTTGTTGTTAGCTGCCATCAAGTCAGCTCCAATGTATACTGATTCCACGTACAACAGAACATACATAGTGACTCCCTGGTCCTGCATCATCTCTATGAGCCATTGCTATTCTCAAGCTCACATGGTCTTTGTGTCTTTTGAATGCCTTTTAACTTAGGGGGTCTCATATGCAAGCACCATCTCAGATAACACTGTGATGCACTGGGCTTTCATTGGTTCATTTTAAACAGTAGATCAGGCTTTCCTTCTAAGTTTGTCTTAGTCTGGAAACAATACTGAAAACCTGTCCATCATTGGTCACCTGCTGGTGTTTGAACTTTCAAGGGTGTTACTTCCAACATTAGAGAAATTCACAAGCCAGCACAGTACAACACACTGACAAGTGGAGTCATGGCAAAGAACATTAGCTTAGGAAATTTGTTCTCATTGTTAGCAATAAAGGCATAAATAGGACAGTTCAGTTACTATATTACCACCTAAAAGCCACACCAGTGATCCAGATTCCTTCTAATTTCCCACCTTGCCTTCAAATTCTGTCTTTCAGTAAGTCCTCAGCTTATTCTTGTCTAAGACACAGTTCCAGCTGTTACCTTCATCACCCTAGACACTATTTCTTCTTTCAAATGAGGAGAAACTTCCTAGATGTGCCCAGTAGATTTCTCAATGTCTCATTGGCCAGAATTATAGTACAAACTCATGCCGAGTCAATCACTGACAAGGAATGTGGCACAGTGACCAGTGTGGATTAATCAGCACTTTTACACTAAGTCATGTGGAGCAGGGCCACTTTCCCAGAACAAATAGGTGGAAAAGGAAAGGAGAATTCTTAAAATCAGGGCAATCATGAAGAAATGCTCCAAATCACCAGCAATAAGAGAGATGCAAATCAAAACCACAATGAGGTACCATCTCACTCCAGTAAGAGTGGCAAAGTTTAACAGGCCAGGAAGTAATAGATGCTGGAGAGGATATGGTGAGAAAGGAACTCTTTTACATTTTTAGTGGATTGTAAAATGGTACAACCACTCTGGAAGGCAGTTTGGCTCTTCTCAAAAAGATGAACATACAAATTCCATATGACCCAGGTATTCCACTATTTGGAATATGCCCTGAGATTTTGAGAACTGAGGCATAAACTGAGATTTGTGTACCAATGTTCATAGCAGCATATTCACCGTTGTAAGAACATGGAAACAGCCCAAATGTCCAACCACAAATGAATGGATTGAGAAATTATGGTACATTCACACAATGGAATACTATGCAGCATGCAGGAGCAATAACTTTGTAAATTATTACCTAACTTGGGAGGGACTGGAGAGCATTATGCTGAATGAACTAACTCAGTCACATAAGGATAAATAATGTATAAAACCATTCTTTTGGAATGAGTATAAGGATCCAGGAGGGGTAGGAGAAGTTGGAAGCAGAGGGATGTGGATGTGCAGGGAGAAGAAGGGATTAATCATTGGGTTGTACAATTTGATGGGTGGGTGAGGGAAATTGAAAGAATTTGTTCAAATTTGTTTTTTAATTTTGTAAATAAACTAGTAGAAAAATTTTTTAAAGATTAGGGCAATCAACAATAAAGTCAACTATTCTACAATCTAATTGTCATTCCTTGTAGCTGACCCTGGGGGGGGCGGGGGGGGGGAGTGCGGGGTTGGAGGCTGTAAATAGCATGAGAGGAGAAGACTCCCTGGTGAATTCCAGCCACCAGAGAGATGCTATCTGTGCATTAGCAGCTCAATTCCTGACTGACTGTGCCACCGTAGCACCCTTACTACATACTACAATTAAAGTGGGCAAAACCTAAACTTTTTTGTTTACCTGTAAATATCTCACTCATGAGCTCTTTCCCACCAATGGCAAGAATGGGGAAATCGTCACTTGTAATGAAAATAAATGTATTACTTTTAGCTCAAAAAAATATCTTTTACGTTTCTCCCCAAGGGGATAGCTTATCACTAGCCACAGATGGCTGGGGAGGAGTTAACCAACACCCAACTAGATGAAGAGATAATCCATGCTGTGGGCTGGTGTCGATCACTGCAACCTGTTGGCTTGCCCTGGGCTGGACTTTGCATGTGGATACAGATGCTCAAAGTTTCCAAGTTGAACAGAGGATTCTTCAGCTAAAGGAATATGCTTCTTTCCTCAGATTACTGTTGTTGATATTATTGAGTAACGTCAAGTCAGGACTGACCGATAGCTGACCTTCCGGCGGGTTTTCAGAGGCAGTAAATCACGTGGGAGGAGACTGCCCATCCTTCCGCAGAGCAGCTGGTGAATTCAAACCACTTGCCTTCTTGTTGTTGTTGTGTGCCATCGAGTCGCTTGTGACTCATAGCGACCCTATGTACAACAGCCCTAAACCCTGCTCTATCCTGTGCCAATCTCACTGTCTCCGACACACCCATCCCGATTACCCCAGTCACTGAATCAATCCACCTCCTTTAGGATCTTCCCCTCCTGCGCCTGCCCTCCACCCTCCCAAGCATGATGTCCTTCTCCAAGAACCAGTCTCTCCTTACAACATGATCAGAGTACTTCAGACGAAGCCTCAAAATCTTTGCCTCCAAGGAGCAGCCCGTTTAACCCTCTCCAAGATGAATCTGTTTTCTTAGCAGTCCATGGTACCCTCAATACTACACTTGCCTTAGGGATGGGCAAATCAGAAATTGGCTATCTAAAAGGGAATAGAAGGACATGAGGCATGAAGTACCTGGCTTACACACCTTCACTAATGTATTGTCGGGCAGGGAAAGAATCTGTAATATACATGAACATAATAGAATGTAGATGAAAGATTGTACAAAACACAATGTGTATGCATGAAACAATGCATATGAGTGATAAAAATATGAATTTAAAAAAGAAAAGAAGGGTTAGCTCATCACGGTCTTACTTCTCAAGATGGCTTCATTTCTTCTTCCTGTATGCCCTCTTGAGTACAACTCATGACGGCCTCCCTCATGTGATAGAACAGATCTAGTTGATCACTAGGTCTTTTCTTTCAAAGAGTGATGAATCTGAATCACCAATCCTTTATTAACAACTGAGCACATTAACCATTATACTACCAGAGCATCATGTAGGATCATGGAAAAGCTTATATACTCTACTAGTGATTGAGGAGAGGGTAGGAACCAACGTTACATGCTGTCCCATAGATCTTTACTGTCCCCCACAAATATATTCCTTATCCCGCAATCACTGAGGCTCATCCTAACCCAGGATGATTACAACAATTGGCAGAGCTCATGAAGAGTTCTCCCACTTGGGTTATACTCCTTGATGCCTGAGTCAGCATCCCGTGCTGGTTACCTCCCACATGCTCTTCCAAGGGCTTTGTGGATCTCTCTAAAATTTGTTATGACCCTCCGTCAATACACTTGAACCAGGCAATCCATCCTGTAGCCCTTGGCTACAGTGTCATTTTGTCCATATACTCAAATGTCAGTTAGTGCATCTGACTGATTTCTTTGTAGGTCTTGTCAAAGTTGGAGGTGGATACTAGATATTCACAACCTGTCGAGAACTGACAGACTCAGGACACTATGATGGGCTCTCTCTGTGTATAAACTTACTTGCTGTTATGTGCTGTCAAGTTGCCTGTGGCTCATAGCGACCCTATGTACAATAGCCCCAAACTCTGCCCTATCCTGTGCCAATCTCACTGTCTTTGAAACACCTATTGCCATTACCCCAGTCACTGAATCAATCCATCTCATAGAGAGTCTTCCTCTTCTGTGCTGTCCCTCCACACTTCCAAGCATGGAGTCCCTCTCCAAGGACTGATTCCACCTTGCAACATGTCCAAAGCATGTCAGATGAAGCTTCAGAATCCTTGGCTCCAAGGAGTAGCCCGTCTTCACCGTCTCCAGGACAAACCTGTTTGTTCTCCTAGCAATCTATGGTATATTCAATACTCTTCTCCAACACCACAGCTCAAAGGCATCAATTCTCTTTGTATCCTCCCTAGTCATTATCCAGTTCTCTGATGCATAGCAAGTGATTGCAAAGACCATGGCCTGTATCAGGCACACCTTAGTCTCCAGACTGACATCGTTGCACTTCAGCACTTTAGAGAGGTCTCTAACCACAGACTTTCCCATCACAATACGTCTTTTAATTTCCCCTAATGCAGTTGTTTGACCATGAATCCAAGGCTCCCCATGATGCATTGTCATTGTTGTTGTTGTTATGGGCTGTCGAGTCACTTGCGACTCATAGTGACCCTATGTACAACAGCCCTAAACTCTGCTCTGTCCTGTGCCAGTTGCACCATCTCTGATACACCCATCCCGATTATCCCAATCAATCCACCTCATAGGGGTCTTCCCCTCCTGCGTTGTTCCTCCACCCCAACCAAACATGATGTCCCTCTCCAAGGACCTGTCCCTCCTTGCAACATGTCCAAAGTATACTAGACAGAGCCTCAGAATCCTTGCCTCCAAGGAGCAGCCTGGTTTGACCCTTTCCAGGATGAATCTGTTTGTTTTCCTAGCAGTCCATGGTACTCTCAATACTCTTCTCCAGCATCACAGCTCAAAGGTCTCAAATGATGACTGGAGCCCAAGCTCTATTGCAAATGTACACTGTTGTTTCTAATACACAGCCCACCACTCCCACTGTACTGTTGTTACTATATGACAGTGCCACATCTCTCCAAAGGATCTTGACATTGAAAGAAACTTTAGAGAGTATCTATTTCAATTATAAAACTTTGCAAACGTGGTCTTTGGTCTCAGCCACAGAAGCAAGATGATGAAGGAAATGTCATTGTTTGGAAAGCATTGCAATAAGACGTACATGTTGTGCCACCACTACGGCTCCAAGGCCTGCCGCTTCCAAAAGCCCACCTGTAGCAAGTGTGGCTACCCTGCCAAGCACCAGAGAAAGTGCAACTGGAGTGCCAAAGCTAAAAGGCGAAATGCCACAGGTACTGGGTGTATGAAGCACCTAAAGATCGGATACCGCAGATTCAGGTGTCAGTTCCGTGAAGGAACAGCACCTACACCCAAGAGGGAAGCATCCACTTCATCTTAAGAATTCCAGTGTTTAATTCTGGATATATGTTCTACTATTTAATTTAAAAAAAAAAAAAAACACCCTCTCTTTGCAGAAGGAAAACTGAGACACAGAGATGTTGCTCCAGTTATCCATATTAACGTAGATATAGTGAGTTGTGTCTCCTCTATGTTGATTCTTTTCCCCACTGGTTAGAATCCTTTCCCATGAAGATGTGACTATAACAAAGCAATATGATGAAGAGGACCTGCATCCCTGAAAGACTGTGTGGGTTAGGCTCACTCCAGCTATCTGAGAATCTCAACTCAAAACTGTTAGATGTGAATGAGTGAGCTTACTTGGTTAGTTAAAGTATATGCAGAACAGTTTTTCTGCAGCCTTCAATATGTCAAGAAGACAAAGATTCTCACCACTGGACCAATTGGCAGCATCAGTATGGATGGTGAAGAGATTGAGATTATTCACAGCTTTAGTCTGCTTGGCTCCACGTCAACACTCTTGGCACCAACAGCCAGGAAATTAAAAGACGTATTGCGATGGGAAAGTGTGCTGTTAGGAACCTCTCTAAAGTACTCAAGAACAACAGTGTCTCTCTGGAGACTAAGGTGCATCTGGTACAGGTCATGGTCTTTGCAATCACTCGTTATGCGTCAGAGAGCTGGACAATGCCCAGGAAGGATAGAAGGAGAATTGATGCTTTTTAGCTTTGGTGTTGGAGAAATGTGCTGAGGGTGCCATGGACTGCTAAGAAAACAAACAGATTCATCCTGGAGAGGTTTAAAGCGGGCTGCTCCTTGGAGGCAAGGATTCTCAGGCTTCATCTGACATACTTTGGTCATGTTGTCAGGAGGGACGGGTCCTTGGAGAGGGACAACATGTTTGGGAGGGTGGAGGGCAGGTGCAGGAGGGGAAGGCCCTCTGGGAGATGGATTGATTTGGTGACTGGGGCAATTGGGATGAGTGTGTCAGATACAGTGAGATTGGCACAGGACAGAGCAGAGTTTAGAGCTGTTGTACATAGGGTTGCTATGAGTCGCACGCGACTCAACGGCACATAACAACAACAACAACAACAATGCAGAACAGATCATCCAGGAGGCTGGGCTCTATGAGGAGGAGTGTGGTATCAGGATTGGAGGAAGACCCATCAACAACCTGCATTATGCAGATGACACAACCTTACTTGTTGAAACTGAGGAGCACATGAGGTAAAGGATAGAAGGTAAAGGACTGTAACCTTCAATGTGGATTGAAGCTCAACATCAAGAAAACAAAGATTCTCACCACTGGGCTAATTGGCAGCATAATGATAGATGATGAAGATATTGAGATTGTTAACATCTTCAGCTTGCTTGACTCCACAATCAAAACTCTTGGTATCAGTATCCTGGAAATCAAAAGACTGATTGCACTGGGAAAATCTGCTGTCAGGGATCTCTCCAGAGTATTGATGAGCAATGATGTCAGTCTGGAGATTAAGGTGCACCTGATCCTGGCCATGGGCTTCACAATTACTTGCTATGCAAGAGAAAGCTGGAAAATGACTAGGATGAAAGAAGAATTGATGCCTTTGAGTTGTGGTGCTGGAGAAGAGTATTGATTATACCATGGACTGCTAGGAGAACAAGCAGGTTCATCCTGGAGAGAGTGAAACCAGGCTGCTCCTTAGAGACAAGGATTTTGAAGCTTAATCTGGCATAGTTCGGGCGTGTTACCAGGAGAGATCAGTCCTTGGAGAGGGACGTCATGCTTAGAAGGATGGAGGGACACCACAAGAGAGGAAGACCTGAATGAGATGGATTTACTCAGTGACTGGTATAATGAGGGTAGGTGTGTCAAAGACAATGAGTTTGTCTCTAGATAGAACAGCGTTCAGAGCTGTTGTATATAGCGTCACTATGAGTTGCAAACAACTCGATGACACATAACAACAACAAGAACATGTTAACAATGTGTTGTTAAACATTTCAATTATATCAAATTAGTTTGTCGCATTAACTAGATGGTCTAGAGATCTTAGAGAATAATTAGTCAAACCACGGATAAATTCAGGGAGAATAAATAAACTTGGCTCATCTTGAAAACTACAGTGTCATGCCTCTTTGTTCGTCTCCCAGAACAGAACAAACATCAGATCAGGAGCTGGAGTAGGCTGCAGACACTTTAAAGTAGAGAAGAAGCATCTGTAGCAAAGGGGGCTAAGGAGAATTTCCTAAGATCTCAGTCCTGTGGGCAGAGACTTGAAGAGAACTGGTAAACCCCCAAAACCATCTGGTATATGAAGGCCAAAGATAAGAGGTGTTTTCTGCCTGGGGGAAGTTTCAGGAGATAATGCTTTGAAGGAGTACTTGAAAACTAACTCAAACAGGCCCATAACCAAGGACCAGATCTTCTTCTGTATCTTTTGTAGAGCCAGTGCTCAGAAATCACCCGTTGATTAATTGATTTCCTTAGTATAAATATCTAATTCAAAATTCCTGTGGGGAAAAACCAGATATGTACAGGTAAATGACCACGTCCTACTCTGCCACTCAGAATATTGAGAAAGCAGGATAGTGTGCTGGCAAAGAACAGAATACAAGGACTCAGAAGCCAGCTTTACCAATTACCAGCTCTGTGATTGGGGGACTAATATAAAAAAACTAAGGAAAGGTTCATGCACAGAATCAACCTTGGAGGCTAACAGCGATGAGAAGAGAGGGAAAGGCGAGGGGGGAAAATAAGTGAAGCATGGCTATGACCTTTCGGAAGCAGATAACTAGACCTTATTCCAACATACTTCTGGGTAGATTTATGCCATCAGTTTTTCAGTCCATGGGTGGGCAAGTAAACATTTTAAATCCCTTAACCATTTAAATCCCATTTTAAAGTCTCCATGATAATATCTACTACATATTCTTATTACAAAGAGTCAGTGAGCTAATTTGTAAAGTTCTCAGCATAGTCCCTGGCACTATGTAAACACTGTTAAATAAATGTTGATATTAACTTTCAGGATGAAATTTGAATAATATGCATCAGAAGCTTTGAACCACAGATCCCATATCCCAAAGGCTTCTCTTCAGAGAAATTCCTGGCATTAAGTGACCATCTATAAGGGATCAGAAAAATAAATGGTAGGAGAAAGTAGACATTGTTACACAAGGCATTGTATCCTTGACTTCATATCACTTAGAACTCATGTTATTCAAGATCAAATTTTCTACCATAAAATAAATGCAAAACAGAATTCACATTATTTAAAAATTTGCCTACAAAGCAAGACATAATTAATATTTTATATTCCACTATTTCAAACTGTGCAACTCAAATTTGCATTAAAAGCAACACGACCGTATATTTATTATGGAGTCACACAAAAATTTATGTTGCATAAGAATAGACAAAGGCTTAGAAAGACACCATGACACATCCGTTTTTTGAAGTGTGACCCCAATTTCAACAGATAGACATTTTTCAGATCCTGGTAAAATTACACATCAAAATTCAAAGTTTGATGGCAGGATTATTGGTACATTTTGGTTTCTTCTGTTTGTTTAATCTGCATTTACTAAATGTTCTATGAAAAGTAGGCATTCTTTTGTAGTAAGAAACAAAGCAAAGGAAACTTTAAAGGAATAAATATGCTGATTACAATTTAACTTTGAAAAAAAATTATAGAAATATCTATGGAAACAAGTAGGTACATTAAAGTAGATCATTCCAACCTATTAGGTGATGTCTACAGCTTTAGTAGAGAGCTCTGGTAGCATAGTCTGCAGGGAGTTACACTGCTAACCCAAAGATTGCACATCTTTGACAGTTCGAATCTACCAATTGCTGTAAAGGAGAAAGAGAAATAATCATCCCCTATGTTATTTAATTGTGATGGGGAAAGTCTGCTGTTAGGGTCCTCTCCAATGTACTGAAGAACAATGGTGTCACTCTGGAGACTAAGGTGCTCCTGATACAGGGCATGGTCTTTGCAATCACTTGCTATGAGTCAGAGAGTTGGACAGTGACTAGGGAGGACAGAAGGAGAATTGATGCCTTTGAGCTGTGGTGTTGGAGAAGAGTATTGAATATACCATGGACTGCTAAGAAAACAAACAGGTTCATCCTAGAGAGGGTTAAACCAGGTGGCCCCTTGGAGGCAAGGATTCTGAAGCTTCATCTGACATACTTTGGACATGTTGCAAGGAGGAACCAGTCCCTGGAGAGGGACGTCATGCTTGGGAAGGTGGAGGGATAGCGCAGGAGAGGAAGGCCCTCTATGAAGTGGATTGATTCAGTGACTGGGGTAATTGGGATGGGTATGTCAGAGACAGTGCGATTGGCACAGGACAGAGCAGGGTTTAGGGCTGTTGTTTATAGCGCAGCTATGAGTCACAGGCGACTCAAGGGCACATAACAACAACAACAACATGTGATTTATAACCTTAGAAAACCCACTGCAGAGTTAGCTATGCGTTGGTTCCAACCAGATGGCAATGAGTTTGAGGGGTTGTTTGTTTGTTTGTTTGTTTTGACAATTTTAGTGGAAATTTTAGTGGAAATAGTGATGCAAAGGTTAACACACTCAGCTGCTAACTGAAATGGAGGCATTTGAAGTTCATCGAGAAATAACTTGGAAGAAAGGCTTGGCTCTCTCCTTCCAAAAAACTAGCCACTGAAAACTCCATGGAGTGCACAGTTCTCCTGTGACATACGTAGCGTTGCCAGGAGTCCGAAATGATTCAATGTCGACTGTTTAACAACATGAGTGAACTGGCTGTTCATTTTGTTCTCTAATACTTGATACTAGGAATCTGAACCCAGTGTATTCCCATGTGGCAGAAGTGACCAAAATGCAAACTGAGGCTGCGCTGGCATGATCCAGACACAATGGAAATCTTTTTGAAAGTAGCAAAGAACCTCAGAAGTCAGACTGCATGGGGTAGTTTTCTCAATATGCCTACATGTATATTTCTTTTGAGATTCAATAATATCTTTAAAGAAAACTGAAAGTATGACATCTGGGGGATTCAAAAGAGAAAGAACATTAAGCAAATTTTATGATTGTTGTTGTCGTTGTTAGGTGCTGGCAAGTACAGCTCATAACAACACTATGAACAACAGACCTGAACTCTGTTCTACCCTCTGCCATCCTCCTCATCCCTGGTACACCTGAGCCCATTGCTATAGTCACTGTGTTCACCTATCTCTTCCTCTCTTTTCACTGATTCTCCACCTTTCCAAGGATGTTATTCCTTTCTAAGGAATAGCCTCTCCTAGACCATGTCCAAAATAAGAAAGGTGAAACTTTGCCATCCTTGCTGCCAAAGAGCATATCAGCTGCACTTTTTCCAAGACATATCTGTTTGGTTTTTTGGCAGTCCATAGGATATTCAGTCCTGTTATCCAACACCACAACTCAAAGACATTGATTCATCTTCTGTCATTTATTGTCTGGCTTTCAGATACATAGCGTGTGATTGAAAAGACCATGGCCTGAATCAGGCACATTTTAATGTTCAAACTGACGTCAACCATTCAAACTGAGTACAAACTGCTCTCAATATTTTGAAGAGGTCCTTGACAGCTGACTTACCCAAAGCAATGTATCTCCTGATTTCCTGACTTCTGGTAACAAAAGTGTTCAGTATAGATCCAAGTAAGATGAAATTATGTTGCCTATTGGCCTAGTAGGAAAGATCTTTGTTTTCTTTTTCTTTTCTTTTTATTTTTTCTTGTTATGTACTGCTGAATTGGATCCTACTGGCACAGGAGGAGATTGCCCCTCCTTCTCCACAGGAGCATCTGGTGGATTCAAACAGGACGCCTTTGAGATTGCAGTGCAGCTTCTTGCCACTAGGCCACCAGAGTGCCCTTTTTATCTTTGTTTTCTGATGTTGAAGTATAATCATATTGAAGGTAGAAGTCCTTGGCCTTCTGCAGCAAGCATTTCAAGTTCTCTTCACAGGGACCTTAGCAGACAGACTGACTGCACAGGAATCAGATTTGTTACATCTATGGGAAGAATCATTAGAGAAGTTCTATACTGCATTCATAACCAAGCCTAGTGCTCACTGCGGAACAGACCATCAACTACACATATGCAAGTTCAAACTGAACATGAAGAAAATGGAAACAACCCCACAAGAACAAAATTAAGAACTTGAGTCTATCCCCCCTGATTTAATATCATCTGAAGAACAGCTTGGAGGCATTGATCACCAATGATCGAAGACCAGAGGAACTATGGGACTAAATCAAGGGTATCATCCATAAAGAGAGCAAAGGGTCATTACAAAGACAGAGGAGAAATTAAAACACTAAAATGATGTCACAAGAAATCATGAAAATTTTATTAAAGCATCAAGAAGCCAAAACAAAGGAAAGAGATGCTAAAGTAAAAGAGTTGAACAGAAGAATTCAAAGGGCAGCTCAAGAAAACAAAGCAAAATGTTATAAGAAAATGTATAAAGAGCTGGAATTAGAGAATAGAATAAAAGAACTCACTTGGCATCTCTCGAGCTGATAGAACTGAAAAACAAACGCAAGCCTCGAGTTCTAATACTGAGGATAACATGAGGAGGAAGAAAAAGGAAGATTCATCAACAAATTTACATTCTTGCAGATGGCACAATCTTGCTTCCTAAAACTGAGGAGGACCTAAAGTGCTTGCTGCGAAGGTCAAGGACTGTAGTCTTCAATATGAATTGAAGCTCAACATCAAGAAAACAAAGATTCTCACCATTGGGCCAATAGGCAGCACCATTATGGGTGGAAAAGAGATGGAGGTTGTTAACAGTCACAATCAACACTCTTGACACCAGCAGTCAGAAAATCAAAAGACTAATTGCACTGGGAAAATCTGCTGTCAGTGACCTCTCCAGGGTACTAAGAAGCAAAGATGTCAGTCTGGAGACTGATGTGGCCTATGGTCTTTGCAATTGCTATGCATCAGAGAGCTGGACAATGACTAAGGATGACAGAAAAAGAATTGATGCCTTTGAGTTGTGGTGCTGAGGAAGAGACTTGAGCATGCATGGGCCACCAAGAAAACAAATAGGTCTGTCTTTGAGAGAGTGAAACCAAGTTTCTCCTTGGAGGCTAGGATTTAGAAGCTCTATCTCACATACTTTGGGCATGTAGCCAGGAGGAACCAGTCCTTGGAGAAGGACATCATGCTCAGAGGGGTAAAAGGACAGAGCAGGAGAGAAAGACCCCAGATGAGACAGATTGATAAAGTAACTGTGGCAGTGGGGATAGACAGGTGTGTCAGAATAAGTAAGACTGGCTCAGGACAGAGCAGGCTTCACAGCTGTTGTGCATAGGGTCGCTATGAGTCACAGGCGACCTAATGGTACCTAACAACAACAGCCACCAATATACAGAAGCTGAAAGAATGAATAACGATGTCTATGGAGTGCCTTGAGGAGCTCTCTGCAAATCCCAGCACAGGGTTCTTACATCTCACTCTTGTCTGTAATCTTATCCCAGGAAAACTGCCTTTACATACAGTGACCTTCTCCCCTCCTGCCACTTTTGCAAATGAGTCCTTTTTGATGAGTGAGTGATCACACCCCCATTGCCTCTAGGATCATATCCCAGCTACTTGGCCTGACAATCAGTACTTTCCTGATCAACTATCTATCTTTGCTTTTCCCTACACCATTCATTCAGAACCCATTTGAAGTTTTTGTTTCTTTTCTGCTTTGAACAATCTGTGCTAAATAAACACGTTCATATAGCACATCTTTTTTGACTATGATCAAAAAGCATGCTGTTGTTGTTATGTGCCGTCGAGTTGCTGACGACTCATAACAACCCTATGTACAACAGCCTTAAACTCTGCTCTATCCTGTGCCAATCGCACTGTCTCCAATGCACTCATCCCGATTACCCCAGTCACTGAATCAATCCACCTCATAGGGGGCCTTCCCCTCCTACGTTATCCCTCCACCTCCCTAGCATGATGTTCCTCTCCAAGGACGGTCCCTCCTTACAACATGTCCAAAGTATTTTTTTTTTCGTTCTACTTTCACGAAAAAGCATAGACACACTATTATCTTCCTCATTACATTGACTTTGGAGAAACAGTAGAAAACAGAAGAGCTTGGTCTCTGATGTAAATCCTAGATCCATCAGCTTCTTAGCTTTGTCAATTGCAGCAAGATAACTTAAGCCTTTGATTTGTGCTATTAGGTGAAGAGTATTGAACATACCATGGACAAAGAACAAAAAAGTATGTCTTGGAGGAACTACCAACAGGGAGCTCCTTAAAGGCAAGGAAAGTGAAGCTCATATACTTTTGGCAGGATGTCAGAGGGCCCAGTCTTCAGAAAAGGAGATCATACTGGGGAAAGTGGAGGGTCAGAGAAAGAAAGGGTGATCCTCAGCAAAATGGATTGACACAGTGACTGTAACAATAGACGTGGGCATAAACTACAATCAGGAGAGGATAAAATAGATGAATGGGACCTGCTAAGAATCAAATGTCTATGCACATCCAAAACCTTCTCTAACAGGGTAAGAAGGAAAGCCACAGACTGGGGAAAAATATTTGGCAATGACATATCTGATAAGATATTTGTATCTAAAATTTGTAAAATACTCCAGCACCTCAACAAGAAAAAGATAAACAGCCCAGTCACGAAATGGGTATAGGATATGAACAGACACTTCACCAAAGACATTCAGATGGCAAACAAACATATGAAATGTTCAAAATCTCTCACTATCAGAGAGATGCAAATCAAAACAACTATGAGATATCATCTTACTTCAGCAACAATAGTAAAGTTCAACAGGGCAGTATCAGGTCGCCGAGGAAGGACAGAACCCAGTTCAGGCCAAGAAAGACAATTTATTGAGGAGAAACAGTTGGGCTGGTTCTCAAGCAGAAGACCAGCCCCCACTAAAAGTTAGAGAGGGGTTTTATATTCTCTTACAAGGAACTTGGGGAAAGGGATGCTCACAGATGTTTTCTACAAGATTGAGAAGTGGGCTGGGATCTCAGATAACTATTTCTGGGAAAGTGGGTAGGGTAGGTTCATATCCTTGACAGAGAGAAAAAGCACAGCTGCTGCTTCCTGTGATTGGATTCTTTCAGTGGCCATTCTGGGAGAGGAAGGAAAGGGCTCTGCAGTCCTAATAGGCAGAAAACAACAAATGCTAGTTGTGGGGAGATGGGAACTCTTATTCACTGCTGGTGGAATGTAAAATGGTACAGCCACTACAGAAGGTGGTCTGGAACGTTCTCAAAAAGTTGAAAATAGAGGACTTCCGCTTTGGGGACTGCAGGTTTCTCGTTTCCGGATCCTCCGCGTGTGACTTCCCTTGCTTTTGCTGGTCCTGCGAAGCCCCTCTTGTCACTGAACCCGCAGGAGCAGGCCGAATTTCAGAAACAGGTGGCACAGATCCGCCATCGGACGCAGAACGAAAAACTTACTCCTGGAGTTGTCTATGTTGGTCACATACCTCGAGGCCTTTTTGAACCCCAACTCAAGTCATATTTCTCCCAGTTTGGCACTGCTACGAGACTTAAATTATCCAGAAGTAAAAAGACTGGAAATAGTAAAGGTTATGCCTTTGTGGAGTTTGAGTCTCATGATGTTGCCAAGATCGTTGCTGAAACAATGAATAACTACCTTTTTAGTGAAAGACTCTTGAAGTGTGATTTCATGCCACCTGAGAATGTACATGAAGAACTTTTCAAAGACTGGGATGTTCCATTTTCGAAGCCATCAAATCCTGCAGTGAAACGATATAATAAACATCGAACACGTACAGAAAAGCTACGGATGGAAAAACGATTTAAACAAAAAGAAAAATTACTAAGAAAGAAATTAGCCAATAAAGGAATCGATTATAATTTTCCTCCATTGGTTTTACCCAAAAAGGAAAGACGTGTCACCAACAGTGATCTTCAGAACTGTACCGATAGCAAGGATTCCACACCCGTCTGTACACCATCATTTTTGGAGAGACGAAAATCTGAACTGGCTACACTGAATGATAATGATGAAGATAATGAAATAGTGTTCAAACCTGTTGTCAGTGTAAAAGAAGAAACAAACAAAAAAAAAAAACAGAAACACCTACACATTCAAGAAGTAAAAGAAGAAAGAACGAACAGTAATTTTGAATGTAATATGAGTGTATTTGGGGGAAAATGTAGTGGTTTTGTTACTAGGATTAACTCTTGACATTTTGCTACATACAGACGTTGGCACAGTATTTGGAGGAAGAGCATTTCCTCAAGTAAAGCAATGCATTGCATTCAGACTTGTTTATCTGTGGTGAGATGGAGGGGCTTGTGGTTGGCCAGTGCTACCTCTTGGTTTACTAGACTTCCTGTTTCCTTTGCAGTAGTCTTATTTGTCCTTAGATACTATTAGTGGCCAGCAGATAAACTTCTAAAGTTATTTCTGTGTACGTGAAACAAGTAGTTTTTGCCTTTTCAGCTGTTGATTGTGATTCCTTGAAATGTGTTTTTTTGTGAGGTAGGTGCTGTCCAGTTGGGTCCAATGCATAGCTGTCCTCTATATAACAGAATAAAGTCCTGCACCACCCTCACAATCTCTGCTCTACTTAAACCCATTGAAGGCATTCTGTTTATCCTTCCTTCTGAGAAGCACTGTGACTGCATTCCTACCAGGACAGATTTATTTATTTTGGTAAACTGTGGCATATTCAATATTCTTCACCAGTACTGTAATTCAAAGGCGTTAATTTATCTCCCTTATTCATTGT